ACTCATAATAGGCTTCTGACCTAGTATCCGAAGCTCTACATTTTCAAACAATATCCCATTAACCTTACGCTTATGATAACCACTAACATGTAACAGGGTTTGATAATTATTATTCATCTGTGGACTGATATTTTGTGCTCATAAAATCTTGGCTCATGATAAACATAAGCAAACTGTGAGACTTAGGTAGAGTTTTGTTTTCTGAGCTAGATAGTTTGGTCGTGGAGCTTTGATGGGTCTTCTGAACAACATTATGAGCACAAACTTCAGGTAGAAATGAAGTGTCCGAATTCCTTTATATATAACTCAAAGCTTATCCTGTGAACGTTGATCTTGATTGGTTACTATCAACAATGAATGAAAAATGAAAGCTCTATGAAGAAGCAATCAAGATCAGTGGACGAAATTCCACCTTAATCATCTACCCTTAGCTAAAAATCTTCTGCACCATCTAAAAATTGTGAGGTTGGAAACAGAAGTGTTATATTCCATGATTTGGTGCAATTATTATGAATGCCCAGAACCACTAACTAACCTAGATATGTGAAGAAAAAACTTAGGACTGAGCAGGAAGGTTTTTTGCTAAGTACTTAATATATATGTCCGCGACTCATCCCTGTACATAGGGTGCTCGGATACCCGCAACAAGAATGTATTGTATCAAACCTATAACGTTGATTAAGACCATTATTGTATGAATTTGACTGTGGACTGACGAATAATTCGCTTGTAGTTGTCCGTCCACCTTTGTATCTTACTTGTTGTGTGATCTTGAGATACAATGTTACTTATCTGTTTTCTCTGAATAACGAGTTGAGACAAGGTACGATAATTTCTGAATACGGCTGTTCTGTTAGGTGCATAAGCAGGAAATGAAAAACATAGTGATGTAATTATATCAGTACTTGGTATTTATACATAGTTTATAACTCATGCTGCATTGTGGTGTATGCTAACTATGTTGATGGATATAATTAGTATGTAGCACCAATCATTAATGAAATGCTTGCTAACAGAAGGTTGAATTAAGAAGAACAGTAAAGAAAACAGAGAACATTGAAATAAAAACAGAATTGAAACGTGTAAACGACAACTGAAGGAAGATATGAAAATAATGTACTTAATGTACGGTTTTCATATTTTACCATGGTTTTGTGTAATTTTGCATTAAACAATGAAATGGCTTGCCCCATTTAAGTTTTTGTTTACTATAGCATAACCTAAATTTCTGCTCAGATCAAAATCACTATTCTGTGAGTTGACAGCATAGATTCCCAATAGGTCTGCTTATAAATTCATTTCGCTAGTAAAGGATGTTTCCATAGATCTTGTTCTATGAGCAAATAGTTGTTTGTTTTGATCAAGATCAAGTAGTGAAATACATGATTTGGTCAAGGTATTAAAGGTGGTGTTTGGAATTAAAAAGTGGGTATGATAGCACTTCAAAAGTTACTTATTAAGATACAAAAATTTCTCCAGTTATTTCTTAATTTATGCACGCTTATGTCATGAAATGAAGACATTTAAGGAAATATGTGGAACGGATAGATGTTTGTTCCTAGTGAGGTACCCATCAGCAGTGGACAACTGCGATGCAACATGAAATTGATTTGAGGGCCTACAGGTTTGTGCTAAGCATGGTGCTTCAAAATCAATTAGACAATATTCAGTCATCGAATATCACTCGATATTATGGAGGGATCATCTAACTCCCTCACTGCTAGTGTGATACTTTTCTTAGGCCACGACATCGTTAAGTTTCTGGTACGGAGGTCTCTAAGGATCCTGGTCCAGTTTTAACGATTAGGTTGACTAATATTTTAGCTAAGATCTGGGAGTTAGACGTTATTCCATCTGACTGGTCGCAATCACTTATCGTCCCAATATATAAGAAAGGATCGAAATGATCCTGTGACAACCAGAGAGGGATAAGTTTAACTAATATAGCATCTAAAATACTATCCTCAATAATTATCGGGTGCCTAACAAAGACTTGTGAACTGCAAACACGAGAAAATAAGGCTAGCTTCAGCCCTGATCATAGCTACATCGACCACATATTCACCATTCCTCAGACGATGATAGTTTTCCTTGACTTAAAAGGAGCGTTCGACTCTATAGACCGAGAGGTTCTATGGTAGTACCTGTCACTGAAAGGCATACCTCAGAAAAACACAAACCTTTGAGAGCTTTTTACTCGAACACTACCAGTTGTGTCAGAGCTTATGGCGAACTGCCGTCTGGTTTTGCAACCTCAAGTGATGTCTGGCAAGGCTACTCACTATCTCCATTGTCGGTCAATTTCATCATAAACCTATTACCGTAAATAATGTTCTCGTCGTTTGGATTTTCAGGAATTGAACTCCTAGCAGAAGGTCCCCTTATCGATTTAGAATACGCAGATGAGATAGTCCTATTTGGTGAAGACGCTGATAAAATGCAGTGTTTTGGTAGCACTGAGAAACAATGCCAGGATGCGTTTCTTCCTCTCTAAATGCAAGTCGTTGCTTCGGGACTGGCATGCGTGAACACCAGGAATAAGGATAGGTAGTGAAGTAGTCAAACGCGTCGACAACCTCACTTATCCTGGAAGTCTGATCAACCATAATGGATTGGTGTCTGACAAAATCTCTGCATGGATTTTGTCAACTTACGTCTCCTGTGCCGAAGGCAAGAAATTCGCCTACCAGTTAAAATTTGTTCTGTTATAGTTTACGACTGAAAACGTGGTCACCAAGGGTAGAGGATATTCGAAAGTTAGCAGTATTTGACCACAGATGTTTAAGAATTATTGCCAACATCTGTTGAGATCACCGGGTGAGTAATAGTGAAGTTATACGCAGGGTATTAGGGAATGATGGTGAATCAGTTGATGAGGTTGTGAATCTTCATTGACTGAGATGGTTGGGCCACGTATTACGTATGCCCGGACACAGTTTACCATGACGCGCAATGCTGACTAGTGTTGGAAGTTAGGAGCGGCCAAACCAAAACGTGGCATCAGTGCTTGAAGTCACTAACTTCTAGTCTGAGCCATGTTGGTAGATGCGGACTACGTGGTTGGGGTCTGCGCGACTATCGTAATCAATGGTCAAGGCTCTGGGTGACATGGCTCAGAATCGACCGCAATGTCGTAGATGTATACACACTCTGTCTTTCCTTAAAATACGAGATTAAAATCGCTTCATATCTTTCTTTCTATCAACTAATTCTTTCTTCCAGTACTATATCCTTATACAAAATCTTTCCTTTATATACTACTGCCATTGAATTGACTACTTCTATCAATTCGTTGTTCATCTTGTTGTGCAAGTAGAATCACTTAATTTCTCACGGTATATCATGTTTAATATAGTGTGTCCATCAAGAAGGAGAATAAATTGACGACTATGGCATTTAAAATCAATATAGGTCGTGAGCTTTTAACGAAGATACGTGTGTACATTTGAAGATTTACATAAATAATTACTTCGTGAAAACAAATCTAAAGAGAAAGATTTCCTGTAGGGTTTTGAATTAGACCGCCTAGTAACATACACCAAAACTCAATATTACTAACCGCATAATCCAACTACTACTCAACAATAATCCTATAAGAATAAATGAAACCCAATTTTAAAATTATACTCTCATTTTCTGTTTTCATATATGTAAAAGAAAACACAGACAGAAATACTGAGTATCCATTCACCCAACGATAGACCATTGGAACATCTCATTTGTACTATAAATAGATTATGGGAGCAATTACAGTCAAATAAGTGTTTGTATTTATGTTGAAATGTTATTAGCTACTATCCCTAACAGACCTAATGGAATTTTAAAGATAAATGAGGTGATTGAAAAACACACGCACACACATACAACTAATCCATTTGCAATACATCGAGAAAGTTATTACATTAACAACTGTCAAGATTGCACACTAAAGTTCACTAAAAAGAAAGTAATGGCCACATTCATTGAACAATAAAAAAAGAACAGAAAACAACTAACATATTTGTGTGCAACTGTAATTTCTGGTTTACTTTTAAAATTATGATCATCATTATTAGCATTAGAATTATATAAAGCCAGATGAAACAAAAGATACATAGTTAGTTAGCTAGTTAGAATTAAATTTATTATCATTGTGGCTGCAGTTGTCATCGTTGTTAGGGCTTCAATCTCTTAATTACTTTGAATAGAAAAAACAAACTAGCATTGACGATGACGATAACAATAACCAACAAAATTCAGTCAAAAGAACAATATCAAGTTTATATGCATATTGTGTGGAAAAGGGTGAGAAAGGTCTGGGCTGATTGATAGTAGTATTAGTAGTGGTCATCATGGTGTACACACAAAATACATTTCACATGCAATTTTGTTACCTTTAAAAATAACTTTAAGGCAACGAGAAAAAAAGTGAAGAGAATGAATGAGCAGGAATTAAAATTTCATCAGAAGTAGCAATATGAAGCAATTGCTATGCGAGAGAGATCGATTCACATAATATGAAACAAACGAGGAGTACAACATAGAACACCAACAACAACAACAACAACAAAAACACCAACAAGAACAACGTAATTGCTGCTTGAACTGACTTTAAACAATGAAAAAACAAAAACAAAATATATGTATATATAAACAAACAAGCGAATAGTGTGTTTGTTTTTCAGGTAGAAAATAAATGTTATTACAATTTGAAAAATAAACAGAGAGAAACAAGTGTATAGGCAGATAGATAGAAAAAAAAAGAAAGAATGCAACGTAAATAGAGTAAGCAAAACTGTAGAAGAAACTTTGGAACAGTGATTTCTCTCTCTAAAAAAAGAGAAAAAAAATAATAATGACCATGAAAAAGAGTGAATCAATTGCATTTCCCTAAATAAGTCACAGCTCATCATCACATTATTGTTAGTATCCCCATATGATGATGATTGAAATACTTTTCTTCTTCTTCTTCTATAAAATTACTAAATCCACAGAATTGGAAGAATACACACGCATAAACATTAGGTAGTTGTAAAATCTGTAGTAAAAAGAGAAGAGACGAAATTAAAAGCAGTTATTCAAAATAAAGCTTATCAGTAATTAAACACAGAGAGAGACAAAACATATCATTGACAAAGGGTTATTATCATCAAGTCATACTCACACTAATTACGATCTGATCTATAATGGTTAAATGAAGATTATCTGATGAAGGTTCTTATGATAAATACGACCTGTGGTTGAAGATATTGAACGATACGGATCAAAATCGGTCACAATAGACCAGATATATACATTGTTTATCTCCCTCTAGATCTTGTGTTGTAGTATTTTTTTAAGCATACACCTTATCATTCTATCTTCGTGAACTATATTCTAAATATGTAATGCTTTTCAAAACCATTGATACTAATATTAGTTCCACTTCTTTGCTATATATCTTAGTATTTTCTTCATGTTGTGTTGGTGTAATATGGTCACTCGGAAAAACGCATATTTTCGACATGCTCTACATCGATTATGACTGATTAACTATGGTTACGAAAGTCTAGTGATGGTTTGTTCAATAATAATAAATTCACTTATCAATTGTTAGGTTATTTCGCTCTACTTCGATTGGAAGCAAATGGCTGGTACCATCATATAAAACGGTATAACTCACAGTTGAGTACATTAACTTTTTAATTCGTATATCTGGTAAAATTATATACCGTTATCCTCAATGCTGCTCATTATTATTAGTTTTATTTGAACACATAAATATTGGTACAAGGGGGAACCAAATACATATGCGCTACACAATAACAATGAGGCCAGTAGAAGTTATCATTGATATATATATGAGGGTTGTGATATTGTCAGGGTGCCCAAACCGAAGAAGATGGTTTTCTTAGGGGACCGCACCCCAAACTTTCGACCTAATGGTTTGACCCACAAGGCAATGGATCAACGTCAGGAGATGCAGCCCATGGTAGTCGGTGACCAACAATAGGCTCATACATACACCATTTGTTCTCTCAGGATCCTAAAGCCCATGCACATCATTGGTTTGGAATGAGGGTTTTCCAACTCCCCTAGTGATCCTCTATGTCCACCAACCGATTAAAGTGTCGAACGTTTGCATTTCGTCCTCTCAATTTCGTAAATAACAACCTGGGCACGAGAAGGCAGTGATTAGGACAGTGGTTATATATACTTGACCATGTGAAAGCATTTTGGAAGAGAGCGCAAACTTTTCCCACTCTCGGAGGTATCAGGGTATTTGGGGATAATAATAAGTTTGTTATCATAATTTCAGCAACAAAAACATTCATTCAATTCAGTAAACGATTGTTTATATAATTTAGTTGACTCTTCATTATTACTGATCCATTTAAAACTTTGATATACCAGTATTAATTTAAATGATTAATTAGATATTTACGTTAATTAGTAAATGAACAGTAGTAACCAATATCAAACTGTTAAATAGCTGATATAAATTAAATTCTATGGGTAATAATTACAATAAGACTTAGGTTAAATAAAAAAAAGTATTGTTATAATCTAATTGATTAATGTATTAAACTTTCAAATATTAAATGATAGATTTAAACCTTGTTTAGTAATAGTTCCATTTTGATAACCGGATACTATATAACTTATATGTAGAGGAAATTGAACTTGAGTACATATAATTATGTATTTCTTAAATTTAACATGACGATGCATTTTAGCTTTGATTCAAGGTAGTTGAAAGAAATCATTAAGAAAACCTATAATTTGAAATTATGTTAGTTGATATCACAAAGCATCCATTATTATATAATCAATCCGCGCGAAGGATACGAACCCAGAGCCCTCGGCATCGCGCGCGAACGCTTAAACTCTAAACCACTGAGCCGGCATTCGACGGTGTTAATGTCTTGCTTTAACTAATCCATGATATTGCTTGTCCTTCAACCATTGTCTTCAGTCAGTAACGGTTGAACTCTACCACTGGTCACAGCTTCACATTAGAACTCCGGAAAATCCATCTTGAAACCAGTCACTGGTGAGCACATGATAATTATCAGTATAGGGTTATAGAATAAGTAAGCAAATATGAAACAGAAAATACTCAACAATACACAAATAAGAATATAGACTAACTACTTACAGTTTAAGCTTTGTTGTGCAAAAAATCGAACATCCTGATCAAAATCATAATCTATGACTTTTTTTAAAACCGGTATCACATCATTTTGAATAGTTCTACATGACAAAGAATGGTGAGAAAGAAAGAAGGAGAAAATACACACATAATGAATACATTGATTAAAGAATAATAACTAGAAAAGTTGTCATTGATTAACCATTGATAAGTGACCGATCATAATAAACTAATTATACAGTCGATACATTTTGAAATCATCTAAAAAAGATGAACGCTTTACATTCAAACTGTTAAAAATATTAAGGAAACACAATTTACTGAAATAACACAGCGAAACAGACACACTCTAAAATCAAACATTTTGAACACAGAATGAACAAACAAAAATGGCATTTTTACATTTTCGTGGTGCAGTTTGAACTAAAACAGATTATTATGTTACACTGGAAACCCTACATATTTAGTCTTATCAGGTAAATGGTTATGCATTGGGCGGTTATGAACCATATTTACAGAGAAAGAGCGAGTGCAATTACCCGACTTTACGAATTAAATTCAATGGCGAGAGACAGAGCATTCATGTGTCAAGAAATGATACTTCAATAAATAAAAAAATTGTGCATTTAGTATTTAAATAATCCTGAAAGACAATAATCAAATGAGAGAGGAGTTCGATTACAAATGAGATCTTAATATCGATATCACGATTTACTAGGCACATGAAAATGGTAACTTAAAGTAAAAGCAAAAATAATGCTTTGGGAATAATCCCCTCAACAGATAGGAGATAGTATGGCACTTAAAAAACTCACTTTTTATCCAGAGAACCGGAGATTACGTGGAGGGCTTGTGTTGCACAAATTCGTACATTTGGCACTACATCCTCCGACAGGAAACGTAATAACTGAGCTACACACCCGGTCAAATAAACATTTGGTATTTGTGGTGGTGCTTGGCAACCTTTAGGAACTGTTGTAACATTTACATTATCTGAATTTGTGAGGTTCTTCGATGTTTTTGATGACAAATAAGCATAGATGTTACGGGAAGCAGGAAAGAGAATTCCTGCGCTAGGATCATCACCTAGGGCACTGTAAGGAGGTTCATCCAAGATACCAGGGCCCCAAACAGCCTATAAACGTATCCAGAAAAAGATAATACCGTTTGTAATTCAAATGAGAAAATTAGTCATTCGGGAAAAGTGCTTAAAAAGCTTAATGATGAATGGAAGCTTAGAATTTAGGAAACGATACTATTACATAATTGACAGTTATGAACTTAGATCAAATTTCACACGATTAAGAACCGCTAGTATTTAGGTTTCTCGTGTAGATGGATAATTTCTATGGTGAAGTATGTACCAGGTTTATTAAAATGATAGGAGAAACATAAAGTGATAGATGACATAGAATATAAATTTGTCAACTAATAAGTATTTAGAACATCAAATAATCGATATAAGCTCTTACATTAACTGTATTCAAAAGACAACTATCAACTGAATGGATTTTCACTCTAGTAAAACAACCTTTATATGTAATAAATTGTGAGGTATAATCTTAGACATGATTCCACGTAAATTAACAAGTCAACGAATAAAAAGATAATAATTTTCTAAAGTAACTCAAACAACAATGAAATCAGGACCTGACAATCAGTTTAATTGTTGTCAGTGAACAACAAAGAATTCTACACCATCCAATAAGGGGCAACAGATAACTATCTAAACAGATAAAGTATATTTATTTGATCATTTCCTGGATTATATTTTAATCTACTCCGGTACTAGACATTATTTATTTATTTATAAATATTGGTACAAAGGGGCATCGAATGCATATGCGCCACACAAGTTACTTGATTTGTGTGTGGGTTGTGATATTGTCCGACTGCCCAAACCGAAGCAGGTGGTTTTCTTAGAGGGACACCACAGCCCAAACCTGGTAATGGCAGTATACGCGTGGCCATGTGAGATCATTTTGAGAGGGAGAGCTGACTCTCCCCACCCTCAGTCGTAACAAGGCATTCAGGGGCCCAGTCACTATAAACATTTTAAAATGGGCGATTAGTATTGTTTAAATTTCTAAAAGTTTACACAATCATTTTAAAAATTTACCATTTCTAATCAAGACTTTATAATTAACATGGAGACCGGTTATTTAGTGATTAAATCCTAACCTCAGTATATATATTTTTAATCATAAAAAACAGTTCAAAATGAACTTTTACACAAATATACTCGCCTTTTTTGGTGGGTAAAAAGTCATTTTCTTCCCCGTAAAAGTAGATGAACTTAAATAGATGTTAGAAAATTCTATTTTATCATTATTATTATTATTTGAACACATGAATATTGGTACAAGAGAGCGCTAATATATATGCGCCGCACAAAACAATGAGAATTCGAAGAGAAATACAAAAAAAAACTAAGGAGCGCAAAAGAAAAAGAGAATAATTGAAGAAAAATTCCCATTATATTAAAAACACAATTGTATGAACGAAGAATATTCTTTTCAATAATAACGAAGAGATTGATGTAAGGTAGTATGGTAGTAAGAAGGGAACGGAAAGGTACAATCAGAAGAAATCTTTCAGGTAAAGGAGACACAAACCACTTTTTATGAAGAAAGTAAAAGAAGGTTACAGCAGGATCGCCACTGGCTTCTATTCTGAGCCATATCTGATAACGTCTCTAGCCACTGTGTAGCACCATCTCTCAGACCCCAACCAGGGAGTCGTGAAGAACCAACACACGCCAGTCCTTTGCAGCTTTCTTTCATACCACGACACCATGTCATGCACTGACCACCTCTCCACTTCGTCCAACCAGTCCCAGAGTCGGCAAATAATGCACGACGTAGAATTCTCTGGGACGACATTCGTAGAACATGTCCAAGCCACCGAAGTCGGTGTTTCAAGATGGTAACACCAATTGAATTATCATCTCTGTGCCCGAACACACGATGCCCAACCTCTGCATTACTGACATGGTGTTGCCACTGAATGTCAGCAATCCTTCGGAGACAGCGATGATCGAACACAGAGAGTCGTCTAACGTCCTCAACTCGGAGAGCATAGAGCAAAACTGCTCTCACCGACGCGTTGTAGATCTCATCACTCACACCCCCACCAGCACTTATGCAGCTACCCAGATACACGAACTTCTCAACTACGTCTATCTGCTCACCATCCAGGGTGAGTACAGGATTAGAATCCTGCCAGTCTTGTAGAAGTACTTTGCACTTCGAAGGTGCAAAGCACATACCATACCTACGGACACTGATTGCCAACTGATTAAGTGCGGATTGCATGCCTTGGGCATTATCGCACAGTAAGACAATATCGTCCGCATACTCAAGGTCGAGAAGTCTTTCTCCAGGCAACAGATCCACACCACCATTACTTACATTCATCAGAGCTGTTTCCAGAATGTCATCGATGGCAAAGTTGAAGAGGAATGGTGAGATTGGGCAACCCTGCCTAACCCCACTGCTCGAATGGAACAATGGAGAGAGGTGGTTGTATGCCCTCACTCTGCCTGAGGTGTTTTTATATAGGGCTTTTAGGATGTTAATAAACTTCTCAGGCACACCCTTCTTCAATAGACAATCCCAGAGAACAGTCCTGTCCAACGAATCGAAGGCAGCCCTGATGTCAAGAAACACTACGATTGTTGGCCTTTGATAAGTATGGCGGTGTTCTAACATTTGGCGGAGGGTGAAGATATGATCAATACATCCTCGACCAGAACGAAACCCAGCCTGCTCCTCGCGAGTCAATCTTTCTCGGGTTTTGAACAACCTACGAAGTATGACGGAAGCCAATAGCTTGGACGCAATCGGAAGTAACTTATCCCCCGATAGTTGTTACAGGAACGACGTGAACCCTTTTTAAAGATAGGGACAACTATCGACTCATTCCATGACGTTGGTCACACTCTAGTTCCCAAACCTTTGTAAACAACGTCGTCAATTCCTTAGTCAAAAAGTCACCACCATCTTTAAAAAGAGCCGGAGGTAAGTCATCTGGGCCAGGTGATTTGTAACGCTTCAAGAGTTGGAGTTCCTTGCGGACTTCCTCCTCGTTTGGTGGATCAGTCGTCACCGGCCATGGAGGGCAGGACAGTCTGACCGATGTTGCCGGAGCAGCAGGCCAGTTGAACTGCCCTTCGAAAAATTCTGCCCATCGTCCAAGACGTCGATGGATGTTAGTGATTGGCATCCCATCATCCTCGCAGATTGTTTCACTCACACCAGACTTCTTGCTGCCAGTGGCTCGGATGAGCTGGAAGAGCTTCCGGTAGTTACCAGATGCAGCTGCTGCTTCCAGCTCATTAGCAGAAGGGGTTTTGTGAAGATTTCATAAATTTCACTGATTGAAATTATGACCCAATTGAAGTTATACCACCACGGAAAACCTGGAAGCGCCGGACGGCCGTTTTGTCCTAGTATGGGACTCCTCAGCAGTGCGCATCCACGATTCTGCACCCCGCGAGATTCGAACCCAGGAACTAACGGTCTCGCGCCAGGCGCTTAACCGTCTAGACCACTGTAATTTTTTAATCAATCTTAGATTGTTTTTTCTATCTTTCTCACTGATATCCACAGATTATATAATCTTCACTGTATTTATTTCTTCACAATTTAATTGGTTCAACTTTATATGAAGTATACTGTTGATGCTTTATTAAACCTAAAATGTTGAGGTACTATATATGTAATGTAAATGAATCTTATTCAATGTGTACAGTTGAAAATTAAACTACAAATTTAAACATGTTCATAACATGACGATGACACTGTAAAAAACCATATATATAAACATATATTTAGGAACAGTTCGGTAAATCTTACTTGTACTACGTTAATGTATATTTGACGAAGATGATAATTTGTATCTACGGCAAGAGCTTTAAGGCCACCTGCAGCAGCTTGTGTAGTTAAAGCATTGACTGGATTAACAGCAGAAGTATTCGATGTAGTTGAAAGACCGGAAGTATTTGCTTGATCTAACACTTGAGCATTTGTTGAACTAGGAAGATTACCAGTGGAAGTATTTGATGCATTTGTTCCACTAGTTGGATTAGTTACATTAGATGAAGCACTGTTTGGATTAGAAGTTATACTACCTGAACCAGAGTTTGTAGTCGCTTTAGATCCTACTCCACTGAATGCTTTTTTGCAAGCTCCCGGACATGCTACTAATAAACGAGCAAGACTACGACAAGCACATTCACGAACGCACCACGCCGGATCTCGTAACCATGCAAGATTTGCAGGTAGAACAGTTTCCTGTAAACAATTTTCCGGCTAAAATATAAATAATAAAAATGGATAAAAAGTTAGTCGGAAGAAATCTAACTAAATGAAAATAGTACACAGTTGAACTTATCTAATCACTGAATTTTTCTAACATTACTGCATTACGAGACAAGTGCCAACATGGAATCTTGAAGTTAAAACGAAAAGAGGAAGATCAAGGAACATATTGCATCGGGATCGGAAGCTGACATTACAAGAATGAATAGCAACTGGAAAGGATTGCTCAGGATAGAGTTCGATGGACAATGCCGGTGGGTGGCCTGTGCTCCTCCACAAGGGGTAACAAGTGTAAGTAGTAATTACTGACTTGGTTTTTGATGGTATTTTGTTCTCTGAGTTGGATGGTTTGGTCGTGCGGCACTCATCGTTCTTCTGAACGACATCGAATCTCTACATGCTTCACTTATACCTGAAGTTTGTGCTGATGATGTCGTTCAGAAGAACGATGAAAGCTCCACAACCAAACCATCCAACTCAGAGAACAAAACCCCATCAAAATTATCCACCTGAGCTACAAATCTTCTCCACCATCTCACTGTCATGCTTTAATAAAAATAGAGGATCGAGTAGGATGAATAATCTACCAAATACAAATCAATGTGTTTGACTTCATTTTACACGATGTACATACGGATAAGATGAGGAAGATTTTGAAATTCTAAGATAAATTTGGATTATACTCAGTGAAACTATTTCTTTATTTATTTGAATACATACATATTGGTACAAGAGTGCGCCAAATATATATGCGCCACACAAAACAATGAGAATTTAAAGAGAAGGAAAAAGAAAAAAAAGTAAGGAGGGTAAAAAAAGAGAACAATAACGAAGAGATTGGTGTAAGGTAGTGTAATAATAATAGTGGTAATAATGGGGGAACGGAAAGGTACAATCAGAAGAAACCCTTCAGTTAAGGAAGATACAACCATTTTTTCTTATAAAGAAAGTAAAAGAAGGTTACAGCAGGATCGCCACTGGCCTCTATTCTGAGCCATATCTGATAACGTCTCTAGCCATTGAGTTATCATATCATAACTCAATGAAACTACAAGATAGTAGTACGTAAATGAAAAAAAAAATCACAATGTAATGATGGTAATACCATTGACTAGTAGTGTAATAGAGATTAGGCCGCCACAATCATACAAAACCTACAAAATAGAACTACTCGTTCGCTCCCCATTAATAACTCTCTAGTTAAGTATACAACAATGTACAATAAAAAGGAAACTAAGAAAATTTATTTTTGTAGCTTTGGTTGACGATGATATAATGCAGGATGTCATTTTTCGGAAATTTTGGTACATTGGCAAGGATAATTCTAACGATAATTTTGATAGTGTCTACAATAACTCAACTCTCTTCTAACACTATTATCTACTAAAGAATGAGTATTTCAGAGCGTCAGATTCAACTTTACTCGAGTGTGTATGTTCAAGATTCTTAAGAATATTATGGAAACTCTTTTCAAACAACAAACTGATTCAAATGACAAAGAATATCTGATACAAAAACACAAATTATCCACATACAAAAATCTTACCAACTTATCATATAAACAAGGTACTGATTGAACAACACCAAGACGAACACGCCAATTTTTATCTTGCCAAAGACGAAGTAGACTTGGTAATAAGGTCAATTGAATCTCGTTAGCAGGCATTAAAGCTACTAATTCAGAAAATGCTCGAATACATATTGTTTGGACTAAAAAAATAAATACATTAAAATGATACAACCGTTAAATGAATAAAATATTTCAACGGCATAAAAAACATTAAATTTAACCAAAGGAATATTGGACAGTTTCAGTAGTGTCTCAATTTAGGATGCCTAAGCTATTATTAATAAACATATGACTAATAGTGACTGAACGTCAAAGGATTTCACGAAGTCGTCGGAAATTCAGTCATATGATGTGAGACAGGTATTATGAATAACAATGGATGGTAAATTAGTGATCAAAAAGTATGGAGCTAGCCAAAAGAATTGAAGACCCCAGGTTTGATTACTGAAAGGGTCATAAATGCGCAATGGCTGAGGAGTTCCATGCTAGAATATAACTAGCCTCTTGAAGTCTCAACACAAGCTGTACTTTAACTATGGGCTAAATAAAACGGAAGTATCAATTTTAGATAAAAATAATTTGCTTAAAAAGGAATATTACTGTATGTAGAACAGTGACGTAGTAAACTATCACAACACTAAATATTGTCACAGGTATTAAAGAAATATATTTAACCAGATAAAAAGCATTCAGAAAATATTTCATGAACTGGTAAAGAAGCATCGCCACGAATCTTATACGATTTGATGATAGACTACTTTGAACACCATAAAGTTGCAATTAGAAGCATCGGATATATTAATGGATGCTGACTTAGCTTTTTAATCATTTCTGTCCACGCAACTTCAAATGTCCAATTGATGAAGTAAGGCTATTTGAAGAACGAAACGGACATATTAACCAATCATAAGTTAAACTGATTGAGAAATCATCCTAGTTAACGTTTTTATAAACTAACGTGGAAGATGTAGGACTGAATGCTTCTCAAATCTAATAACCTAATCAAGTTTAAAAAACTTTAATTCATATAGAAGTCATTACTCCGTTTGCTATGACACTCAAACACCCCGGTAAGGCCGAGGGTGGCAAGAGCCAGCTTCCCTCTCGAAACGCTCTCAAATGGCCACGCGTATACAGCCACTCCAAGGGAAGTCCTACTCACTGCCTTTACGTGCCCAGGGTGTTATTTACGAAATTGAGAGGACGAAAAGCAAATGTTCGACACTTTAACCGGGTTGGTGGACATGGAGGACCCACCTAGGGGAGTTGGAAAACCCTCATTCCAAACTAACGATGTACATGGGCTTTAAGATCCTGAGGGAAGAAATGGTGTATGTATGAGCCTATTGTTGGTCACCGACTACTATAGGATTGCATCTCCTGACGTTGCTCCACTGCCTTGTGGGTCAAACCATTAGGTCGAAAGTTCGGGGTGTGGCCCCCTAAGAAAACTACCTGCTTCGGTCTGCGCACCCAGGTAGTATCATAGCCATCACACAAATCAAGTGACTTATGTGGCGCATATGTATTCGATGGCCTTTTGTACCAATATTTATGTGCTCAAATAAATAAATAAAATGATACGAAAAATGGTTTCCTTGTCCTCAGTGACTGGATTTGCAAACATCCTTAAAGTGGAAATTTATTAAAATATGCTTAGATAAAAAAATTACTAACAGTCTCTCACTAACCTGTGAACTTGTATCATTTAAAAATGCTAAAATATGCTGTACCAAAGGTAGACAATCTTCTCGACGAATAGATGGTAACAAACCAACAGCACATCGAACCAATTCGGAACGTACTCGTTCTTCACGTTCCATAGATAAATGTTCACGTAAACGCGGTAACAAAATGGTAACAAGAATATCTTTGGGGCTTGCAAGGCAGAAATCTATGAGAAAATGGTGAAGATGAAATCATTTGAACCACTGTAATATTTAGAGTAAGTTAACTTAAGACGATACATAGTTTGTCCAATAAATTGTGGATTAAAGGCATAAATGCTTCATTTAAAAACTAGCGACATATCATTATTAAACTCTTTAAAATACCTCCCCCCGTTTGTGACAATATACTTTCATCATCTCTGTATTCATTGTTTGTAATATCTTCGAAAGTCCTCAGGCGTCAGTTTCTTGAGTGGAATCATTTTTTCACGTTTTCTCCTCAACCAAAAATGTTCTACTGGATTAGTATACACAGAATGATTTCTCACGTTTACTTTATCAGCAATCATAAGGACAAACTGAGTGAAGGATCGAGAAGCACAAAATGTGACAGCCTATTTTAATCATAAATTTCTTAGATAGATGAATATAGGTTGGATTGCATCTTGTTGACTTACTACAGAGTGCAAAAATGTTTATAAAACGTTTATTTTATTTTTTATTTTATTTAAACACATAAACATGATACAAGGAGGCACCAAGTAGATATGCCCCACATAAATCATTCGATTTGTGTGAGGGCTGTGATACTGCCCGGGTGCCCAGACCGAAGCAGGTTAAACGATTATCATTAGAAATGTTAAATTGAGTCTAGCAATTCCAGAAACAACATCCAATAGAAAACATGCATGTTGTCACGCATCAGTTACATATTAGTATTTAAAGCCTAATGCAAGAAAAAATAAAAAAGACTTCAGTTGTTTTTGCAAAAACCATTTCCCAGAGGGAAACAAATTACTTAATTATTTTAAGAAAGCAATAAGATATCTCTTCAATTTTATAGCTGATTTGTCAACGCAATGTGTGAAGTCAACAAAACTAATGAACAATCCAATGATATCAAGTTACTGAATCGGTTGTTAGTTAAATGATTGATGTTTGCTGGTTGAAAACAAACGATAATAAGCCTTGACCATTTTTATAATCCGCTTTACTTGAGATTCATTATCAAAGACAATGTGTATCTACACAGTCAGCAGAGGAAAGATGCTGTTTGAGGGATTTGAACAGTTGTCAAGCAGTGTTAAAATGGAATCTAATTAATTGTAATATAGTATGAATATTTCAAAACTACTGGTCGTATTTAGGGCAAAACATTAACTGAAATCCTGAGAACTAATACAACTAAAGTAATATTAGTTTCTATGCATTCATTGTTTTTTCGTCAAGGCAGAATTTATCTGTTTCCATTAGTTATACAGTATTCTAACATCTATGTTTTGATACAGGTATGGTTTACATTACAAAAATACTTTGGGAACAGTTGGAAGTCACTTATCACCAACATAAGGTCTAGCACAAGTACACATCCGTTCAAGTTCATACAATTCATATCAAGAAATTAACAAGACGAAAAATTAAAGCAGTTAAAATAACGGTGTCAATGATGATGAATGGCTAAACACAATACATTATTATTATTATCAGCTTTATTCAATATTATATTTTTGGCACAATATAGAATTCTCAGCGCAAAGTATTTCAACAAGTTTCCGTTTCTTTCTTCTTGATTGGTCCTGGCGATAAATATTGAGTGATCGCCAGTTAGATGTTAGCAGTTCACTGAATGAACATCTGAATAATGTGCATTCTTTTCGTTGTATATTGCCAGCAACCACATTGTCTCTTATTGATTTTTTTGTAACTTTGACAACGAAAGATTGTACACTTTTCAGAAACGCAGCAGAATAGGTTATGCGAAATATAGACATAATGATACATTAAAACAAAAATAGATAACTTGTTGAAATATCTAGGTGGTAGGAACAGGTAGCCCAGATGCTCAAGCAGGGCGCCCTGTATAAGTTGAAGAATAAAGAGATATGCAAAAGCATACCTTTCAGTTGACCAGCACTGATTCTACGCGTTTCTACTTCATTATCTTCTAGAAGATTTAACATAGTCTGATGCAATGATCGGTTGGCTCCGCCATGATTACAAACTAAAGTTTGAAGATTTGTGATAACTGATGCCATCGCCCGCCTCACATCTCTATAAAACATAAATAATAGTGTTGTATGAAAAAGTAGTTTTTGGGGAAATTTCGAAAAAAAATCATAGTGAAACTAATTACAATGAAGCAATTTATCAGTCTCTGATTGTATACCTTTCCTTTATTGAAGTATCTGTCTTACGACATTATCATCATTTCAACATCTATATTAAATTAGTGAACTAGAATGTTAAATCCGATAATAAGAAGTAATATCGTATAAAACCTTGTCGTAGCAATAAATTTGATGAAACTCCTTTTTCATTACACAACAGATCTAAAATTTATTTACTCTGAAGAAGTGACTTACACTAAGGCATGGAATATCAGAAATACAATTTTCTACTTATTGGGATATTGCTATCGTTGACTGATTTTAATAGTAAGAACTTTCACAAGCCGAAAACTGGTTCTATCAATTGCTTTAAATAATCAGAAAGAATTATTAATAATCCTTATAATGAATGAAATGTACAGATGAATATGTAGACTAACACTTGGTCATCAAATTGAAATAGATAAAAATGGCCAAACATACAGATAATTCACTGTCTGAATTAGTAATCAGGATATTTCAACTATTACATTTCTCAGTTTAAAAGATGAATTGATCTTGACTAAATCACCATTTGAGATCTGTATGCATTGAACGGCTGTTTCATCCTAGTATGGAGAACCCCAGGAACTTTGGTTTTGTGTACGAACCCTTAACCTTCAGATCACTGAGACGGGATTCAAAGGTTTTAATATCTAACTTCTTACTTGGCTTCCTCTTTTTCTAATTATTTTTTATCATCATTATCATATCATTACTATGATAACATTTCAATTATTATGCATTATATTCATACAACTTTATCCTTATTACTATCAGTACAATTTTAATTAATCTGATATTTCTCCTACCACTTATTATGTTCACATGATTTATCAAGTTATATTGATTGTAACTCGATCCATTATAAGGAATTTTTCTACCCCTTTCTCAATTGACCTTTAAATAAATGGTATAAGTTACACTTATATAGGCGATAACCAAAGCAAAAGTTTACTACCGTAACAGATAACATTATCTGATTCACTTATTTATGCATAGCTTATATTGATCATTGGGGACTTACAACAGTAAAGTATGACAATGATTATAGGAACAAGTACTCGTTCAAATATTCATTGTTTATGATTAACTTAAATGTGAAATATTTATAACACGAATTTCACACAAACTAATATCAATAAATAGTTGATTACAGCTTCGTGATCTGAATTTCATATTTTTTTTATGTCAGTCAGTCAGTTACAACGTGGGACCAGGCACATATATGCATCGGTCGAAGTTGCCACAGCTCATTAGCACAGCAAGATGAAAAACACTGAATTCATAGAAGCAGGTACTTCAATGGTAGCAAGATATAAAAGAAAGATTGAATATATGGATATAGTACAGGAAGAAAAAAATTAGTTGGTAGAAAGACAAAAAGCAATTTTAATCTCACGGGTTAAGAGAAGACAAAGAGTGAGTGTACTTTATCTTGTAAATTTGTAGAGCTATGTAACCGAGTAATCTGTTTACATGGTCAGGGGTTCAAATTACTTTCATCTTTAACGCAATGTTGCTTATTGTTATACAATACATATAACTAATAGCCTGATGTATGGATCCTTATTAAATTATCAGATCTAAAAATATGAGAAAAAAAATTATTACCTGCTAGGATCCCCAGCAAGTTTGTCAATACATGGTCTGATAGTTGAGTCAAACTCTGCTGCATCCGTAATCATCCGTCCCAATTCCACTAACGGTGGTAAACAGGCTGCTCGAACAACACGTTGATTATCAGAAACTAAACTGAAATATACAAACAAAGGACAATTGCTATTAACAAAATTTGAGAATATTCAAACTTTACAAATCGACAAAAGTATTAACACAAATAGTTTTTGATAAAATAAATATCTTAACACAACGTGAACAACCGACATGTGTCTGTAGTTTCAACAGTGAACAAATTCGTTTTACTCGACACAGAAATAGATGAGATGTAAAAAAAAGAGAAACACTGTACCGTTTTGTCTGCTTAAGGAAGTTACAACATATTAATCAATGATTATCGAATTGCATATTTTCCACTGACAGGTCAAATACGTGAACGATTCATATGAATAACATGGAATAGATGGCAAACTTAAATAAAATTCATATAGTCAATATGGTATGCAAAGACCACGTGTTTGTTCTTCATATTGAGTCGGGTCTCATATTTCTATAAATTAAAGAATCAGTAAAATTTACCCGGAATATGAAAGTATTTACAAAGATACCAGTGACTAAGTATGAGACTACTTAATACTCATAGCTCAGAATACCTACGTCTCAAAAATGTTAAGTATAACTGAAAAAAAAACTATTTCTAACAGCAACTATTCAACTCCCAAAAACCATCGACTATACTTAACAGTTTACTATTATCAATTCTGAATTTAATGAAATATGATTTATAAACTTAAATGAACATTGAGCTAGATGCAATAGAGACTAATGAAATTCTAATATTTCTTCAAACTTTTAAACCAGATAGATCGGTCGAATCGGTGAATTAAAGTACTTAGTACAAGTACGAAAACATGGGTTGCATTTTCAGATAAATAAATCAACAAGGTATTCAAACTAAACATCAAGCAATATAGATTCTAATTCAGCTTAATATAATTCCCTGAAAATAACTTATTTATGTAAAGAAATATTGGAAATGAATCAAGACTTAAGGATTATTTATTTATTTGAACAGAAATATTGGTACAAAGGGCCACACAATGCACTTGATTTGTGTGCGGGCTATGATATTGCCCACGTGTGCAGACCGAAGCAGGTAATTTTCTTAGAGGGCCACACTCGGAGGTGGTCTTGAGTGCTGTTAGAGGTATGAGGGCGGTTATCACTTCCCGGTTGCCCACACCGTGAAAGGGTTGTTCTGGAGGTACCTTAAAAGGAAATTGGATTAGAGGTGGACTTATTGACCAGAGAGCGTGACCGCAGTGCCCAAAGGACAACTCCTTAAGGTTGGTCACACACGATCTTTTTATGAGTAATTTTTGTGTAAGCTCCATACTTGTTGAGACATTACCGCCGGAGACGGATATCCGTGGGATAAGGCGAGGTGTGCATTTTTAAGGTCGACCTTTTCTAACCACACCCCTTCCTGTGGGAAGGCAGCATCACTGTCATGCTGGTTGTCTGAAGGAAACACCTTACTGCTGTCACACCTCTGTACAGTCAGCAATACGACTTCGCCTTCGGACCTTAGGTTTGCTGCTTTTAGTCTTACGGCTCTCCAACCGACCTGTCTGACATGGTAGGACCTTGAGGAACGGTTGTTCCAGCTAGTATAGCTCGGTTGCTTCATCACGATAGGCAAGCCCGACCATCACGTCAAGGTAGCAACAACGGTCGGGTCACACTCGGAATCTTCGACCTAAAGGTCTATTCCACAAGGCAGTGGAGCAATATAAAGGGATGCAGTCTCATAGTAGTCGGTGACCAATAATAAACTCATACATAAACCATTTGTTCTCTCAGGATCCTGGAGCCCATGTACACCGTTGGTTTGGAATGAGGGTTTTCCAACTCCCCTAGGTGGATCCTCCATATCCAGCAACCTGGTTGGAGCGCCGGACATTTGCTTTTCGTTCGCTCAATTTCGTAAACAACAGCAATGCCACGAGAAGGCAGTGAGGTTATATATACATATCAAAAGTGATCTTATAACTAGTAAAACATTGAAGGCTAGACAAAGTTCAAAGATTCGCTTGTTATAAAAAATAGATAACAATAACTTGTCGATACTTTATTTTCTTTCAAAAAAAAAGCTAACTGATGATTTAGTTTGATTCTACATCATTCGGTACATCATAATTAACTTAAAAGTGAGTTTAGAATGGATTATTTTAAGACTTGATCAAGTTTTTTTAAAAGTAAGATGGAAAAATACTTCACATAGAACATGTACAATTGAAAGTGAATAACGTCATTAAAAATATGTGTAACAATTGTTAAGTCGTGAGAAAAAGTTATAAACATGTACATATATACAACACCTTTTAGTAACCAAACAAGTTAACTTCGCGGCTAAAGTAATTTTTTTAAAATAAGACTTATAAGCGCACATCTGTTAAAAAAATATATAACAACACACTGACAAACCTTGCAAGCAGCAGACCTAGTTCTGATTTTAAATCTGGACCGAAAAGTTTTGCAAGTGGAACAAGTTGTTGAACAGCAGCAGCCCGAACTAAAGGGACTTCATCTTCACTATCAGCCAAATGGAAAAGTCGGCTGAAATTATGCAATACATAAAAAGTGAAAGTAAAACTTGCAAAATTAAGTTTATATACTAGAAATATGTCAATGTTAAGTGAACTCTAATGATTTTGTAAATCCATCACATATCAACTAAAATGTATGCAGCATCAAATTGTTAAAATTACTTAGAATCCATAGAATATAAAACTACCCTTTTAAATACAAAAACTTTAGATCATAAAAACAAAGATATAACAAGACAGCAACCAGAAACAAAATGGAACTAATGGTTAGTGGTTTCACCCAGTGGATTTCATATTTCCCCAACTTGAGTCGGAACAACTGGATATTTAATGATTTCATATGATGAGTGTTCCATAAAATCAAAAGCACGAAACTGTACTAAGCTATCGGTTGATATTAGCCAGAACAAGTTTGTGGACAGACCTATAAGCCGATTGTGCAAAACACTGAGATTCAGATGGCAGTAAGATGTTGATCATTCAGAAAGCAAGTGTATAAAACACATAGAGGTTAAAACGCAGGAGACATTACCATTCGGAAAAAGCTTCTGGACCAAAAATCAATACAAAACGAAAGCTGAATGACTTACTACTTAAAATCCACTTGATTTCGTGCTGAAACCATTGGATAACAGGCAATAATGAGTTTTGTAACCACTTTTCTTGAAGCACAATAAAGATCCTCTGAAAAATTAGTATAAATATACACTACTGTTAAGAAACATGCTAACTAACGAGGAATCCAGGATTTTTTTAAAAAACAATAACCTTGGAGAAGTATGCAGTACGTCTACGGCAGAAACTATCATAAAATTACAAATCAATTTTTTAACAGAATACTATACTCTGGTTTAACTCATCTCATTAATAAATATTTATGTACTTGAGATTGCGTCATTCATTTTTTGAGATAGGTAGCGATGTTATTTGGATATTTAAATCTTAGTATATACAATAAGTTTCGAGCATGCAAACGTCGTTAAAAATCAAATGCCTAGATCAGTGATTCATTATAAACGAATATCAAACTTGAACTAAACAAGTGTTGTTTATAATAGATAAGAATTTTTTGAGAAACAACTTGTCTATATTACTCGATGGGAACTTTCTTTAGCCACTTACAAAGGAAAACAGAGCAAATAATTTATCTGTACACAATCAATCGTTAATAATTTGTTGAAACAAATTTTGACCTGACTAGATTGTTACAAGATGAGACCGTAAACTTATACTAAGTCTACATTAATATCAGTTGACAAATCACTCAAGAATAACTGTACAAATGTAAACTGACACACTGAAAAACCAAAATTGTCATAAACAACCAAGACCACTCAATAATTTTGTTTGTAACGGAATTTATTAAGACTCAGATTACAGCTATAGTTAGATCAGTCATACCGCGTGGGAAGTTTTAATCATTCAAACAAGTTTTATAGTTGTGTCATTGCAACAGTCTATTCTACAACTTTTTTTCAAAACCATGTCAACCTGACTTTCAACTGAGCACTTATTATGCTCATTCATGTTCGAGGAGTGAAACATAAAGTCAAGGTCAAAATGAATACTTTTATGCATCATTAAATAATATATCTTTAGGGAAACTGTCCATTAGTTCGAAATCACGACATAAGCTGAGGCAGTTAGACCTGAGACAATCCTAAAGGAAAGTTAAGCAGACAACATTTAACTCCTAAAATGAATGATGAAAACAGGAGTCGAATAATCAACGTCATCGACTGTCCAATTTCAAAAGTAAAAGGTTCTCTGAATATTAAAGCAGAAATTCAATGACTTAACATTTCACCTGACCAACGAATATAATATTCACCTCTGCAAAACAGTTGGAAAAAAATATGCTGGTAGATTAAAGCATATATATTAACTGCCAATAAGATGAACTTGCTAACTTATTAACAACTCGAATAGGTATGAAACGAATGGCAATAGTCTTATGTTTATAGTGATTATTATATATTACAAATTGAATTTATGTAGATGAACAAGGCAAAATGTAGTAAAATATGAACTCACCTTCAATAATGTGACGGATAATTGGGGTAAACGTGCTATCCACAACATCATTTGGAAGCTTTGGAAGGAGTGCTATCAGTGAATTACAAGCAGCTTCAGCTACAACAACTTCCTCGATGGAATATATGATATTAGCCAGGATGGGCTATGAAAAGAGAAATATTACAGATATATTAAAACGATAGTAAAAAATTACTTTTGCACTAAAGAGTGAATTAGTTGAGCGATTTTTAGAAAACCGGAAAACCATTCACCCTAACAGAATTTGAAACATCCTTTAATACTAATCTTCGCTCAGCTACAGTATTTCTCCGACAGCCTGATGTCGGCTATGGAATATGACTTTAAAGAGGTGAATTCTTCAAGTGAAAGTAAAAGAAACTAGGCCTTAACCACCGCAGATATAGTATACTTTAAGAACTTAGTTGTTTTATTGAGGATTCAACACGTACACATACAACTTACCACAATTAAAGATATGTGTTCAGCACCACCAACTAGATCGCCAAGGAACCCAGCTTTTGAGCTATAACCATGAGAATTTCATCGTCACCAGCATCAATAGCGTTGGAGACAACATCTACAAATAAACAAAAATATTGTCATTCATAGGACAAGATACGATATCTCTCGTAGAGCTTTTAAGAGCTTGACTCACCTGAGATTGTAGGGATGAGTTTTTCACGTGTATCCACCGGACCCAGACTACTGGCTAGTGTGGGTAAAGTGTGAAATACTCGAAGTTTTTCCTAATGAACTAGTCTTAATTCAATCAAAATACTTACAGATGTTTCCAAGTTCTCATATTCTGCATCAGAAGCATTGGAAGGTGCCGTTGAGTTATCAAACCTTAGGGTTTTTAAAGTCTGTAGCACAGCTTCTAAGACCGACATTTGTACATTATTATCGCCACAACGCCTAGACAAAATAGGCGGACTAGTGTCCAGGCCTTGAAGATTGAACAACGTATATGAGGTTAAGCTGAACAACGGTCCACACCTAAGAAGTGCTTAGCCCATTTCGCCTCGTTAACTATGTATTGTTAATTTCCGTATGTTAATTCTGGGATTTTAATCTATCCATATAAATTACTAAATCAGAGATCGACTCTCAATGATCTAACCTTCACAATTGAAAATGAAGATACCAGATTCAGATTTGTGTAGTAAGGACAGAAGGCCTACGGCTCATGTTAGCCCTTATCTAGCATGCTTCTGTGAGTGTCCAGTCTTCTCTTGAAAGAGTCAATTGAAGGTGCGGACAACACTGCTTCGGGCAGCAGGTTCCAAGTATTGATGACTCGGTGTAAAACCCTGTATGCCACAGGTATTTTGTTCATTCTTGGCTTTTCTACTCGCCTGCTTTGTCCTCTAAGGTTTCTCGATCTAGTGGGAAAAAAGGGAGAGAACAAGTTAGGTTCGAGATCATTTCTCAGTATTCTGTACATCAAAATTAGATCTCCCCTTAATCTGCGATAGGACAGAGTAAAGAGGTCCAGCTTTTCAAGCCGCTCTTTGTATGGTAAACCCCGGAGTTCTAGAATTGCACGGGTAGCTGCCCTCTGTATTTTTTCTAGGATATCCGAGTCACCTTTTAAACAGGGGCTTGCAGCCTGAACGCAGTTCTCAAGCTTAGTTCTCACTAAGGATGTATATACTGTAGTGAACATGGTAGTATCTAACTTAGTAAATGTCCGTTTTAAAGCCCAGAGGGTTCGAAACCCCTTAGCTGAGACTTCCCGGTGATGGGCCGTCATCTTAAGATCATGATTCACTGTCACCCCTAGATCTTTATGAGACCGGACTACGGGTAATGGCACTTCCCCTATGTTGTACCTATTAACCTTGGAATCCCCAAAATACATGTTGACACGCTTTGCCGCGTTTATAGGCATCAGCCACTCTTTAGACCAGTTTATCATATTATTTAAGTCTGCCTGAGGAGCACATGTTTCTGTGTCTCCAGTTATTACTCGCCAGATTTTTACATCGTCAGCATATAATAACACTGGAGACTACTATACTTTGAAGACCATTAACTATATAAAAAGAACCTAGGACGGAAACTTGAGGTACTCTACTAAGTACTGGTCTCCAGATGGAGCACTTGAGGTTTATTCTTACTTTCTACCCACGACCTACTAGGAAATCCTTAATCCATTTTAAGAGAGCTCCAGCAATACCTAGGTTTTCCAACTTCAATAGCAGTCTAATAGTTGGCACCTTGTCAAAAGCCTTAATGAAATCTATGTAGACAACATCCACTAAGTTTCCATCGTCTAGCGCATTTATCCAAAACTCCCTTGCCATAAACAGGTTCGTTGTACAAGTGAGGACCGGAGTGAGACAACGCTGTTTACTCTCCCCCTTCCTTTTTCTTCTGGTGGTCGACTGGATTATGAAGACCTCAACATCTGAGGGAAAACGCGGAGTACAATGGACAGCTCAGAATCAATTAGACGATTTGGACTCCGTAGATGACCTGGCCTTCCTATCGCATACACATGAACAAGTGCAGATGAAGACAGCCAGTGTAGCAACAGTCTCTGCACCAGTAGGCCACAGCATACACAAGGGGAAAACCAAGGTCCTCAAATTCAAAGCGGAGAACAGCAATCCAATCACACTTGATGGCGAAACTCTGGAAGATGTAGAATCCTTCACGTACCTGGGAAGCATCATCGATGAACAAGGAGGTTCAGATGTAGACGCAAATGCAAGGATTGGCAAAGCAAGAGTCGCATTCCTACAATTGAAGAACATATGGAACTCAAAACAACTGTCAACCAACATCAAAGTGAGAATCTTCAATACGAATGTCAAGGCAGTTCTACTGTATGGAGCTGAAACTTGGAGAACTACAACAACCACCATCAAGGAGGTACAAGTATTTATATATGGTTGTCTACGCAAGATACTCAACATCCATTGGCCGGATACCATCAGCAACAGCCTTTTGTGAGAGAGAACAAACCAGCTTCCAGCTGAAGAGGAAATTTGGAAAAGACGATGTAAATGGATAGGACATACATTACGCAAATCATCAAACTGAAACACGAGGCAAGCCCTAACTTAGAATCTTGAAGGGAAGCGGAAAAGAGGAAGGCCAAAGAACACATTATGTCGGATAATAGAAGCAGGTATGAAAAGGATGAATTATAAATGGAAGGAGCTGGAAAGGATTTGTTGAGACAGCGTTGGATGGAGAATGCTGGTGAGCGGCCTATGCTTCTTCACGAGTAGTAACAGGCGTAAGTAAGTAAGTTAGCGTATGAGGACTTCGCATAATCTAAATAAAGTAAGTAAGTTCGATGGAACTTGTCTTGCTCCTGTTTTATGTATGAGAGTGACGATTGCGTCCTTCCAGTCCATAGGTAACACACTTTGGTCAAGTGACATATTGAATATCACAGTCAGTGGGGCCGCGATATATTGTGCAATATTTCTCAAGATTTTGGGATGTAGTTCATCTGGTCCTGTTGACTTTTCCATGTTTAAGGTGCTAAGAGCCTTAAGCACATCTTCTTGGTCGAAGTCCACGGTGAGCAGGTGGTTTGTTGACTTCTTATTTTGATCTGGTTCTTTCTCCAGAGGAGGTTTCTGAGTGGAAACTGCTCAAAAAGTCAGCCATAGCCTCTGCTTTTTTCCTGATCTTCCTCTATCATTTCAGATTCACACCCTTCTTTAATTATGTTGGGAATCCAATGATGCATCCTTGTTCAGTAGTTTATGTACGAGAATATTCACTTGGGCTGCTTGAGTGCAGATTAGGCCAACTGTATTTCATATTGTCTTTGAGCTTCCCGAACTTTTGTTGTACACTTGTTTTTTACCGATCCGTAGCGTTCCATCGTACCTGTTGTGCCAAGGCGGATGGCAACATCCGAACATTTCTTCTTTTGTTTAATAAACGTGGAATATTCCGGCCTATCCAGGAATGGCCATGTTTCTTCTTTCGAACTGTCCGGGGTATGTATGGCTGAGTTACCCGATTGTATAACTGCCTGAATAGAGTCCATGACTCTTGTACTGATGCCTTTGCGTGAATTTCCCAGTTTCCAGTCGATGCTGCGGAGTTAATTGCCTGCATATCTGCTTTTCATATGTTAGGACGGGCTGGCGCAACTGTTTGACAGGCAATCTCAGCCATGAATTTGAATAAGATGACTGCATAGTCACTTCTCCCTAGTGGTGGGAGAAAAGCCTTTTGACCAACGTCATCACCGTGTGTGAAGAATAAATCTAAAAGAGAAGAAGAGTTCCTTAAGTCATATCTTGTGGGATCTCTAGTGTGTTGGAATAATGCTAATCCAACCGAGGTTTCTAACAGTTTGCAGTCGACCGACGATATCGATGACCCTACTTCTAAGTTAACCCAGTTTATATATGGTGCATTAAAATCGCCTACTACAAGGCTTTTACCCTTGTTACACCAGGACTTAAGTTTAATTGGGAGAAAATCATCTGCTACACGTTCTGGACTGCGATATACTACGACTACTTCAATATCTTGCCGTCGGCATTTCAACTTACATCTCACCAGTTTACATGTCCCTGAAACATGTGCTACCATCTCAGCTAATCTTATGGTTAGGGTACTTTTCGTGTACAGAATAACCCCGCCTCCCCTTCGGTTTGATCTATCAGCCCTACTGATTATGAAACCAGTCAAATGGATTTCACTATCTAATACTTCTGACGTTAACCAAGTTTCCGAGACAGCAATAACGTCCGGTTTTTCTTTATCCACCACTGACTTCAGCTCCGCCATTTTTTGTTTAGTAGGCTGCGAGCATTTGTGTAGCATATCTTTAAGTCTGTGAAGAGCTTTTTCTTGCCACCGAGAGTGGCTTGAGGATCGTTTTGCTCCGAACTTTTACAATTTGAAAACCCTTAAGAACAAGGTTCCGTTCCCCGTTTCGGCGACGCTAATTTATATCCGCTTCTGTAGCTCGTCTCTTAACGCGATCAGTTAGGCTGAGATCCTTACAGACATATATTCCGAGTCCAATCAGTTTACGTGAATTACTTAGAATCAAGTGCAAGAACTGTGTAGCGGAAATAAATTCCCAAAATTATTAATTATGTATGTCCTTAACATTGATGCTGACCTATTTAGTTTTACTCAACACATCCTAGATGAAGGCGATCGGTCAAGCATCTGCACCAGATCACTTGTGGATACGCCGTGCTACACATGCCTTGTAACTCTTAGCTGGCTTAGACCAAAAGCTTTTCGACGCCTTTCTAAGTGCGTCTTTGAGCAACTTCGTTTCTGACTTCTGGTTTGACCGTGTTGGTGTACTTCGGTTATAAAGGTGAGACGTGTGGGGGCGTTGTCGATTTCCGAATACCTGTGGCATCTTTAACCGTAATGTCAAAAGTCGATACTTAGTAAAAATTGCAAAAGCTTTTACCACTTATGAAGGGCAATTAGTTCGCGATAGTAAAGTATGAGAAAAAGACCGGTTTTTAATTTTAAAATGATGACGAGACTGAGAGACGAGTCATATATGGTTTACTACGTGAGAGCTCGAAAATATTGTGACCTAAAATTTGAGGACATTGAAATTTTTTTTGAATTATCTGGTTGAGGCCTGTAACGAAAACGTCCATATTAACACTAATATAGTCACGTTATCTAGATCGAATATGCAATTATTTCAAGTCACAAAGGAAATTATCTTCCACTAGTTACCTAGCCCTAACATACAACTTCTTAGGCTTCATTAATCAATAATCTCTGTTGTTGTCTATTTGTTCCCCCGTTTCACGTATCAATGGCGATTCTTATTATTGGTTATGAAATGTTGTTCCAGTTGTCACTTTCATTACAAGTACGAAAACATATGAAACACCTGTGGTGTCTTATGGACTAGATCAAGAGTTACCTA